CCTGAGAGGATAAGAGAGGCCTGGGCCCGGGGCTGCAGCTCAGGGTTCCCGCGGGGCTGAGCCACCATGGCCTGGACTCCTCTGCTCCTGGCGCTCCTCTCTCTCTGCACAGGTAGGGCCAGGCCTGGGCCCAGGCTCCTTCCCTTCCTGCTGGGTCTCCTGGGGACCTGCCCCTGGTCCCTGCCCCTCACTGACCAGTGTCTGTGTCTGCAGGGTCCCTCTCCCAGCCTGTGCTGACCCAGCCGCCCTCCCTCTCTGCATCTCCGGGAGCCACAGCCAGACTCACCTGCACCCTGAGCAGCGACCTCAGTGTTGGTGGTAAAAACATCTACTGGTACCAGCAGAAGCCAGGGAGCCGGCCCCGGTATCTCCTGTACTACTCCTCAAGTACAAACTTGGGACCTGGGGTCCCCAGCCGCTTCTCTGGATCCAAAGACGCCTCGACCAACACAGCGCATCTGCTCATCTCGGGGCTGCAGCCCGAGGACGAGGCCGACTATTACTGTCAGATCTGGAACAGCAATGCTGAGCACAGTGACACACTCAGACGGGGAAGTGGGACAAAAACCCAACCTCCTCGCCCCAAGCTGCTGACACATGTTAGGAGGCAGGACCTGCCTGACTGATCCCTGCAGGCCTGGCCCGGGGTGTGGGTTAAGGGATGCTGTGAGCGGAGGGGCCACACGTCCACAGGGGAGGAGAGCCGGGACCAGGCGCTGTGAGCACAGGCCCGCGGGGGCGGAGCCGCTGGCTTCCCTGGGAAGTGACCGCTTCACAGCCTCCCGGGCACCCTGGTCCGTTCCCTCGGGTCAGGGGGAACAGATAGTCACTTTCCCAGCTTTCCTGGCTGCTGATGGCACCGGGTCCTTCCCACGGGGGAGGGAACATAACCAGCTTAGCAGAGAAGTGCCCCCTTCTTCCCAGAACACCCGTGTGCCCTGTGCGCTCACTCACTCCTCCCATTCAGCAGGGATGTGGCTCTGGCAGCCGCCTGGGGCCCTCAGACCACAGGCTCCACGGTGAGCTGTCACAGCGCCCAGAGGCTTATAAAAATCACTAAAGGCTTTAAAATCAGCCGTTTCTATGGGACTGCACACCCCTTTGGACTCCAAATAAATACCCCTGTCCCTTATGAGGTCTGTGTGAAGCATGATCTTATTTTCAAATTAAAATACACAAAAACCACCAAAACCGGTTTGGATCAGTGGATAGAGCCTTGGCCTGTGGACTGAGGGGTCACAGGTTTGATTCCGGTCAAGGCCATGGACCTTGGTTCGGGGCACAGCCCGAGTGTGGGGTGTGCTGGGGGCAGCTGATCAATGTTTTTGACTACCCCTCTCCCTTCCTCTCTGTAAAAAGTCAGTGAAATATATATTTAAAAATAAAAAAATACCCAAAACCTTCTAATGTGAGACTAAATACAATCTATTCTCACTGAGGACACTGGAGAATATGTCCAAAGATTGCTCTACTTTTTTATACTCACCAGTCCTCCTAAGGGTTTCTTTTGTAATGGTTGCCAATCATAGCTTGCCTTCAATTTTATTTTGTATTAATTTCCGGTGTGTGTGGCAGCACAGGGTTAGGCAGGGATAGATTTACAAAGTCCCCCCGATATTTCCCGAATCCCAGGGGCACCCCACACAGCTATTGGCTGTCTTCCCTGTGCTGCTCGCTCCCCCCCACCCCCAATTCTTTTTCAACTTCCAGCCTGTCCTTCCCCTCCCCTCTCACACGCCCTCTAACCCCTTCGATTCCTCCCGCCATCGGCCTGCTCTCCGTGCCTCTCCGTCCGTCTCTGCTCTGCTGGGCTGTCTGCATTGTCCTTCCACTCCCGGGCTTCTCAGGCCTTTGCTCCCTGAGCCCCCTGCCCGCCCACCCCGGTGGTCCGGCCCGGGCAGCGGCCACGGGGCCCCTCCCTCCCCGCAGCAGTCTAACGGTCCAGGGGCACGGCTGCTGGTGAGTGTCCGTCACCTGGGCCGCTGGAGGCCGAGGCCCATGGATGTGGAGGCAGGACAGGGACCTGACAATCAGGCTGCATACTCACCCCATCCACTAAAGCGGCTGCAGTGGGCACAGGGAGCAGCAGGGGGCGCTGTGGGGCTGCCTCAGCATCCAGGTGCACTCAGCTGTTCCACCCCCCAAGTGCCCAGGGCTGGAGCCTTGTTTCCTGTGTGTGCTGATGGGGGCTCCGGGCGGTGCCCTCTGGGCTGGAGCAGGTTCCAGCAGCTGCCTCCTCGCTCGTGTCTCCCAGGGGGACACTCTGAGGCTCCCCCGAGAGCTGTGGCCTGGGTGACAGCCCAGCTCAGGCTGAGGGGGGGGGGGGCGGCCAGGGTGGCGCAGGCTCTCCAGGAAGGAAGCGAATTTGTGTGAGCGGCCCCTCCCCGGGGAGGCCCTGAGAGGATAAGAGAGGCCTGGGCCCGGGGCTGCAGCTCAGGGTTCCCACCGGGCTGAGCCACCATGGCCTGGACCCCTCTGCTCCTGGCGCTCCTCTCTCTCTGCACAGGTAGGGCCAGGCCTGGGCCCAGGCTCCTTCCCTTCCTGCTGGGTCTCCTGGGGACCTGCCCCTGATCCCTGCCCCTCACTGACCAGTGTCTGTGTCTGCAGGGTCCCTCTCCCAGCCTGTGCTGACCCAGCCGCCCTCCCTCTCTGCCTCTCCGGGAGCCACGGCCAGACTCACCTGCACCCTGAGCAGCGACCTCAGTGTTGGTGGTAAAAACATCTACTGGTACCAGCAGAAGCCAGGGAGCCGGCCCCGGTTTCTCCTGTACTACTCCTCAAGTACAAACTTGGGACCTGGGGTCCCCAGTCGCTTCTCTGGATCCAAAGACGCCTCGACCAACACAGCCCATCTGCTCATCTCAGGGCTGCAGCCCGAGGACGAGGCCGACTATTACTGTCAGGTGTATGAGAGCAGTGCTGAGCACAGTGACACACTCAGACGGGGAAGTGGGACAAAAACCCAACCTCCTCGCCGCAACCTGCTGACACATGTTCAGAGGCAGGACCTGCCTGACTGGTCCCCGCAGGCCTGGCCCGGGGTGTGGGTTAAGGGATGCTGTGAGCGGAGGGGCCACACGTCCACAGGGGAGGAGAGCCGGGACCAGGCGCTGTGAGCACAGGCCCGCGGGGGCGGAGCCGCTGGCTTCCCTGGGAAGTGACCCCCTCACCCCCTCCCGGGCACCCTGGTCCGTTCCCGTGGATCAGGGGGAAGGGAAAGGCCCATCGAGGGGGCGGCGAGCACATGTGCTGTCGGAGCCGGGGTGGCACAGAGAGGCCGGGCATCCACCTGGGGACCGTGCGATGGGAGAGACGCGCCCAGGAGATCCAGAGCTGGGCTGGGTCTGGGGCCTCAGCAGCCGGGAAAGCCTGGGAGACTGACTGCTGGTTGCAAAGGGCACGGGTCCTCCCCACGGGGAGGGAGCATAACCAGCTTAGCAGAGAAGTGTCCCTCCCCTCTCCCTCTGTACGGCCGCGTGCCCTGTGCGCTCACTCACTCCTCCCTCTCAGCAGGGATGTGGCTCTGGCAGCCGCCTGGGGCCCACAGACCACAGGCTCCACGGTGAGCTGTCACAGCGCCCAGAGGCTTATAAAAATCACTAAAGGCTTTAAAATCAGCCGTTTCTATGGGACTGCACACCGCTTTGGACTCCAAATAAATACCCCTGGCCCTTATGAGGTCTGTGTGAAGCATGATCTTATTTTCAAATTAAAATACACAAAAACCGCCAAAACCGGTTTGGCTCAGTGGATAGAGCCTTGGCCTGTGGACTGAGGAGACACAGGTCCGATTCCGGTCAAGGCCATGGACCTTGGTTCGGGGCACAGCCCGGTGGGGGGTGTGCAGGAGCAGATGATCAATGTTTCTGACTACCCCTCTCCCTTCCTCTCTGTAAAAAAAAGCAATAAAATATATATTTAAAAATAAAATAATACCCAAAACCTTCTAATGTGAGACTAAATCCAATCTATTTTCACTGAAGACACTGGAGAATATGTCCAAAGATTGCTCTACTCATACACTCACCAGTCCTCCTAAGGGTTTCTTTTGTAATGGTTTCCAATCACAGCTTCCCATCAATTTTATTTCCTATTAATTTCCGGTGTGTATGGCAGCACAGGGTTAGGCAGGGATAGATTTACAAAGTCCCCCCGATTTTCCCGATCCCCAGGGGCACCCCACACAGCTATTGGCTGTCTTCCCTGTGCTGTTCGCTCCCCCCCACCCCCAATTCTTTTTCACCTTCCAGCCTGTCCTTCCCCTCCCCTCTCACCCGCCCTCTAACCCCTTCGATTCCGCCCGCCATCGGCCTGCTCTCCGTGCCTCTCCGTCCGTCTCTGCTCTGCTGGGCTGTCTGCATTGTCCTTCCACTCCCGGGCTTCTCAGGCCTTTGCTCCCTGAGCCCCCAGCCCGCCCACCCCGGTGGTCCGGCCCGGGCAGCGGCCACGGGGCCCCTCCCTCCCCGCAGCAGTCTAACAGTCCAGGGGCACGGCTGCTGGTGAGTGTCCGTCACCTGGGCCGCTGGAGGCCGAGACCCATGGATGTGGAGGCAGGACAGGGACCTGGCCATCAGGCTGCATCCTCACCCCATCCACTAAAGCGGCTGCAGTGGGCACAGGGAGCAGCAGGGGGCGCTGTGGGGCTGCCTCAGCATCCAGGTGCCCTCAGCTGTTCCACCCCCCACAGTGCCCAGGGCTGGGCCCTGGTGCCTGTGTGTGCTGATGGGGGCTCCGGGCGGAGCCCTCTGGGCTGGGGCAGGTGCCAGCAGCTGCATCCTCGCTTTTGTCTCCCAGGGGGACACTCTGAGGCTCCCCGAGAGCTGTGGCCTGGGTGACAGCCCAGCTCAGGCTGAGGGGGGGGGGGGCGGCCAGGGGGGCGCAGGCTCTCCAGGAAGGAAGCGAATTTGTGTGAGCGGCCCCTCCCCAAGGAGGCCCCTGAGAGGATAAGAGAGGCCTGGGCCCGGGGCTGCAGCTCAGGGTTCCCGCCGGGCTGAGCCACCATGGCCTGGACTCCTCTGCTCCTGGCGCTTCTCTCTCTCTGCACAGGTAGGGCCAGGCCTGGGCCCAGGCTCCTTCCCTTCCTGCTGGGTCTCCTGGGCACCTGCCCCTGGTCCTGCCCCTTACTGACCAGTGTCTGTGTCTGCAGGGTCCCTGTCCCAGCCTGTGCTGACCCAGCCGCCCTCCGTCTCTGCCTCTCCGGGAGCCACAGCCAGACTCACCTGCACCCTGAACAGCGGCTACAATGTTGGCAGCTACAGGATAGTCTGGCTGCAGCAGAAGCCAGGGAGCCGTCCCCGGTATCTCCTGTACTACTACTCAGACTCCAGTAAGCACCAGGGCTCCGGGGTCCCCAGCCGCTTCTCTGGATCCAAAGACGCCTCGGCCAATGCGGGGCTCCTGACCATCTCGGGGCTGCAGCCTGAGGACGACGCTGACTATTACTGTTGCGCATGGGACGGCAGCTCTAAGACTCACACAGTGGTCCAGACCCACAGGGAAGTGAGACAAAAACCTCCCCTCCGCTCCCCTGGCCTGTCCTGGGCCCTGCTGGCGGCTCTCACTCCCCAACCCCTCAGGACCCTCAGCACCATGAGGTCTCACGTGAAGGCTCGGTCACAGCTGACTGTGTATGAACGTGTGAGGCAGCATTTCTGTACCCGGGACCTCCCTCCTTGTTCGGGGAGAAACCACGTTAGACCTGATACTTCCAACTAAAGGGCTTCCCCTCTGCCTCCTCCTTCCCCCAGACCCTCCAGCTCCTCCAGGTCCTTCCTCCTTCTGCCCTCGGAGGGTTTTCTGGCCCAGAACCTGGGAGAGCCTCCTTGTGCCTCAGCCGCATGCAGCTCCACCTCCTCCCCTCCCTCCCACAGTGTTCTCTCCCTCCACAGGGCTCCCTCCCTCCTGGGCTGCTCTCCTGTGTCTGCTGCTCCCCAGCCCCCAGGCCCCCTCCTGGCTGTGTCATAGAAAACCCGGGAAGGACCAAGCAATGCTTTGAGAGATGGAGTAACATTTAGGACTTGCTGGTCTGGAGGATAATGTCTCTCCAATCCTGGGCCCGGACATGGAGGAACTCGCCCTATTTATATGTGTTTACCTCCTTTGTCTCCGAAATAGGGGGTGCTTCTGGCCCCCTTTGCAAGTTCTTAAAGAGCCCCTGGGTGCTGGGGCCTTGCGACCCCAACCAAAGGCCTGGCCTGGAGCCAGCAGTGATAACCTTGTCCGGGAAGGTTTCATGGCCTCTTAAGTGGGAGTCGCTCATGTTGCTTATTATTTAAGCCAGCAAGCATGTGCAGAAGCCACACAGCAGGGTCACAATGGCAAACAGCAGTGTTTGTATAGGATGGATGCTTCCATTGGAGACGGAATCTTCCTCCCAGCCTTCCCCTATCCCTCCCACGGGGAAACCAGTGCACCCACCGGCTGCCCTCCCTGCTGGGCTGGGCAGTCCAGGCCTCTGGAATCTTCTCCAGGGACTCCGCCTGGAGAGCCCTGTGGTCACGTCTCTACACGGACGCTAAATACTCTGATGACAGGAGAACAGCTCCCCGCGTCCCAGACAGGGACACAGTCCCTCCTCATGTGACTGCAGAGCTTGTTCTACTCGAAGGAACGTCTGTGTCTTGGTGACTTCCCGCTCCCTGTGTGAGCCCCGCCCACCAGGGATCATGTGCACACATTCTGCCCATCAGAGCCAAGCACATGCTGCTCTGATCCATGCTGGGTGACAGGTGTCTGGGATTTAGCCTCATGTCCTGGAGGAGACTGCGAGAGGGCACGTGACCAGCAGAAAACTCTGAGGTGCTGCGCTGGGTTCTGCCTGGGGCTCCCTCACAGCTGGGGTCCCAGTGGGCTCTGGGCAGGGAGAGTCACTAAACCTGGACAAGGAGGAAGGAAGGACAGGAATTCCTGTGTTTGTTTAAAACAGAATCGCGTCCCCGGACCTGAGACACAGGCTGACACGGAGCAGGTGACACAGGGGAAGGGGCCCCACACCCAGAAGCACAGCCAGTCACGTCTGCAGTCAGGAAGCTGGCTCCACTCCCCTGGTCCACGGGCCGCCCCGAGCCCCTCCTCTGCACCACTTACTGCCCCACCCGGTCCCCACAGGCTGGGAGGGCCTCGCCGAGGCAACATGACTGTTCCCGGGCAAGGAAGACGCCTGAGCGTGTTCCTGGAAACTCCCCCCATCGGGACCTGAAAGGCCCCCGGAGCCCTGCCAGCCAGATCGACAGCCTCATCACGTGTGATGTGGGCTCAGGAGCTCACTGTGCATGAACTTTGCTGGAAATGAAACCAAATTAATTTATCATTTAGGACATGCCTGGCACTTCATATGGTTGGTCCCTGGGAGTGAGACGCTACAGTGAGTGTCAGCGTCTGTGCCAGTCAGACCAGAATGTGGGAACAGGGACAGGGACCTGGGGAGCTGCAGACACCAGCTGGGCTCAGGGCTTTGGGCCAGAGCGATGTAATGTGTCCTGTGGCCAGCAGGGGGCGCCATGGGATCGTCCTGTGGCCCCACACAGCTGCTCACTGAGGACTTTGCACTCACAGGAGCCTGGGCCTGGGGCCTGGCGCTGTGCGCCCTGATGGGGAGCAGCTGTGTCTGTGCTGGCAGCGCCCACTGAGCTATAGCCTCTGTGTGGTCTCAGCAGGTGCTTCCTCCCAGGGCCCCCCAGGGGCTGAGCCCACCTCCATGCCCCTCAGTCTGGGGTGTGAGCTCAGCTGCAGCGCCAGGGCCCAGGGAGGGGCTGGGCAGTCCCTGGAGGGACCCCCATTTGCATGGCAGCCCCTCCCCTGGCAGAGGGCGGGGAGAAAAGGAGGCCTGGACAGCCCAGCCCCACTGTGGGCTCAGGGCTGTGAGCACCATGGCCTGGACTCCTCTGCTCCTGGCGCTCCTCTCTCACTGCACAGGTAGGGCCAGGCCTGGGCCCAGGCTCCTTCCCTTCCTGCTCGGTCTCCTGGGAACCTGCCCCTGGTCCCTGCCCCTCACTGACCAGTGTCTGTGTCTGCAGGGTCCCTCTCCCAGCCTGTGCTGACCCAGCCGCCCTCCCTCTCTGCCTCTCCGGGAGCCACAGCCAGACTCACCTGCACCCTGAGTGGTATTTCCTATTCGCTTAGTGATTACTGGATAAGCTGGTACCAGCTTAAGCCGGGGACCCCTCCCCGGTATCTCCTGAAATATAAATCAGACTCAGATAAGGGCCAGGGCTCCGGGGTCCCCAGCCGCTTCTCTGGGTCCAAAGACGCCTCGGCCAATGCTGGGCTCCTGACCATCTCGGGGCTGCAGCCTGAGGACGAGGCTGACTATTACTGTGTGACCTATGAAAATAATGCTTCTCACAGTGACACACTCACATGGGGAAGTGGGACAAAAACCTCCCCCTCCCCAGAGTCTGGGTTCCTAACAACTGAACCTGCTGAAAAGACATCCCTGTGGAAAGTATACACGGGGGAGAGAGAGAGAGAGACAGAGGGAGAGACAAGAGAGAGGGAGAGAGAGAGAGAGAAACATCAATGATGAGAGGGAATCATTGATCAACTGCCTCCTGTAGGCCCCATATTTGCGATAGAGTCCGCATCCCAGGCATGAGCCCTGAACAGGAATCAAACCATGACCTCCTGGATCCTAGGTTAATGCCCAACCACTGAGCCACCAGGCCCGGCCCACAGGAGCTCTGTGACCACCCAGGTCTCCAGGCTGTCATGTGACTTAATAAACCCGCTGCCACCAGGAGCTGCCAGGCCAGGGCAGCTGGGGGAGCACATGCCTCCTCTCCTGCAGGGCCACGGGGCTCCCTGTCCCTGTGATGTGAACCAGGGGACCCCGCTCTCCCCGTTGTCTGTCTCCGTGGGCTCAACACCCCTCCCCCTCTCTTCCTGGTTTCCTAATGCCACGTGGTCACCCTGTGCCCGCTTTCCAAACCGTGACTCAGCACTCCTGGGCGGCACGACACTGACCACCCCGTCCCTCCTCTGTGACAGGGTCCCCCAGGGCCGCCTGCTCCCAGCTCAGAGCCGAGGGACACGGTCGCTCTCTGTCACTGCCCCACTCGGGGAAGGATGTGTGTGAGATTTAAAGCAGGGTTTCCATAGGTTCTCCTCATCCCATTCCACATGCCATTCCCCGAGTCCAAGTCACTGAGCTAATTTCTTTCTAAGAAATAAAAATGCAGCTCAGTGCACACCCACAGTGATATCAATTTCACTCCCTGAGCCCGGGCGCCCCCCTGAGGTGAGCTGACCCGGCAGGGGCTTGTCCACACCCACGGGAAGGGCACCAGCTGGGTTCCGGTTCAGGGTTCGGGTTCTGGAGAAGGACGCACACAAAGGAAAAGAGAGTCTAGAACAGATTTAATTTGGGAAATGGGGGCCAGGCAGGAGCCCACCTTTAGGGAGAGAGGTACTCCTCACTCTGGCTTTTCCATCCCTTTCATTAAGATTAAAATGATAGGATCCACCGGTATCCCCTGGGCAGCAGACTCCAATCACAGCCAATCAGTGCGTGTAGGACTCACAGGTGGGGCTGCTTCAGCTGCCAAGGTCTAGTCATTAGCTCTGACCCTTTAGAGCGATTGAGGTTGACCAGCCCTCCGACTCCCCGTCCACAGCTCTCTGTGATTAAAACAACGATCTGCATCAGAGAGACATCGCCAGGGACCTGTGAGCTCCCAGGAGCCGGACCTGGGCCCCATCCCTGTGGCCCCATGGCTGGGAGGTGGGTCCGGATCAGAGCAAACAGAGGCGGGAAGGTTCCCTAAGGGCCCCTGGGCCTCCCTCGGCCCCCCCCTCATCACCAGCGCATTTGGGTCTGGAAACCCATCAGGGAAACCCGCAAGGCAGCTCCTGCCTCAGCAGGACCAGCTCTGCTCCTGAGCTCCCCACTGTCCGGGCACATTCAGGTCCAACGAAGGCCACAGCCACTGCCCTCAGGGGCCATGCCCTGAGGCCCAGGTCCCCCCAGGAAAGTGAGAAAGCATCACCCACCCCACGGCCTGGCCCCTGTCCCAGAGGGAGGCCTTGGGAGGCGGGCTCCTGGCTGCCATGGAGACGCTGTGCCCTCTCTTTGGAGCCTCTGCCTCCCGCCCCTCCCTCAGGGGAGGACAGGCCCAGGGGCCCACACACGACCTCTGACCCCACAGAGCACGTGCATCTCCTTCTGGTCCCATCCCAGGAAGTGCTCCCCCAGGCCACCTGGACTCACCGCTCAGTGTCCCCTCACAAGGCCCTGGTCCTGATGGTGCCATCCCGTCCCTCCCCTTCCTGTCTGGGAGCTGGGATCACAGTGACTCGGTTGTGATTAAAAAAACTCAGAAATCTGCCGGGACCGGTGTTGCTCAGTGGATAGACCATCGGCCTGTGGACTGAAAGGCCCGGGGTTCGATTCCAGTCAAGAGCATGTATGTTGGTTGTGGGCCCCACTCCAGTGGGGGGTGTGCAGGAGGCAGCTGACCGATGATTCTCTCTCATCGAGGTTTCTAACTCTCTATCCATCTCTCTTCC